CATAAAAAGTCATGGACTGCTCTGGAGAAGGAGAGTGAGAGAAAACATTTTTTTTCTGGGCTTCAGTTCTGTGCAGCACTCGGACACCACAGCAATAAGTATTGTGTAAAAACCCAAAACAGTTGCATATTTTCAAGCATCCATATATTGCACTTGTAACAAATATGATAATACTTACGGGCTTCCTCAAAAAAGGGAATATTTCATGTGGCTCACCATATGGGCTGAGATTGCTGCATGAATGTCACATAAATAAGGGTTGCAAGATTGGAAATGTACAGAATTATTTCAGTTTGGGAATTTTAGCAACTTTTAAGTGATCTGAAAACCAAACCAGGGCCCCAGTACTGCAGTTTATTCAGTACGGACCAATTCCTGTGTGTACACAGCGACAGAGATCCACTGAAATCAATGGGACTCTGCAAATGCAAGGTCTACCTGTGTAGTAGTTTGCAGGGTCAGATCCTCAGTACCCATAATGTCTGAGTGCTGTTACTGTTAGCAGTGCTTGACCTAGTGAAAACTACTAATTAAAAATTATATTGGCTTTAACAAATTCAGTTGTTTCCAAGTTAGCTTTGTACGTTAAGTTTAATCTAGAACCCAAATTGACGTACGAAACCATGAATTCCAGAAACATTGTTTGATCCTCCATTATATCATATGGTTATAGTGCAAAGAGAATATTACTAAATCTTAATTAGGTTGTTAAATAGACATGGCTGGATTTGCAGTGTGCTGAGCAGCCCCAGATCCCAATGGACTCATCTGGAGCTGCAGTTATTCAGCACTCTTGGAAATCTGGCTTTATGCCAGAGCCTTATTCCTGTTTTAGCTGTCTTGCGTGAATTTGGTCTTGGTGTTCATAAACTGCTGCTTATGAAACCTCAGGGGAAACATCCCAAGATGCTTTACAGCTCTCTGAATTATTTCTATTTGGATAACATCCCCAAAAATACTAGCCAGTCTTGAAAGGAAGGTTTGGGAGTATAATCATAGGTCTACATCTCCTTGCTAATGGGAGACAAGTTATTTTTTTACTATTATACACAGCTGAAATGGCACAGGTGGCATTTGTGACATTGCAAATTAAAATTAGTTCCAGTAAAGCATGACTGAGAAATAGCAAAGATAAGACACGGTTAGTGGAGGAAGACCTACACATATTGTGGCTGGCCATTGCCAGGGCCAGGCCAGATTCCATTCTCACTGGGAGTTTCACCTTTGACGAGAGTGGGAGTGGGAGAATCATTTGCACACTTGCATTTTTGGAAGCTTTTCAATCGTTTCTCTCTATACAGTAAACACTCTTAAGGTTCCCAGTGAGGCCAGGAATGCCTCTTCCTGTGCCAGCCTAATCTCTCATATTGAAAAACTACCTCCCTAAAGGGGATCGTTAACGGCAGGTTTGCAATTTAGCTGCCAGTACCAGAATGATTTGCTTTCATTTAGTTTAACCTCCCACCATGAAACATAGGCTGGAATTTTCTAAAGGGCTCAACACCCAGATTCAAAGCCAGATTTCTCCCACACCTCTCTCTCCCTCTCTCTCGCTCATTCTCTCTCTCAGAACCAAAATGATTTGCCAGAATTTCAAAAGAGCTCGGCATCTT